ACAACCAAAGTTACTGTGTTCTTAAGCGTTTAATACACAAAAAATTAAAAACAAACAGATGAATGTGTTACTGCTTTACACATCTCTCCCTCAAAACAATGAATTTCACTTACAAATGAAAGTTGCAACGTACAATAAGGAATATTACAGGATCCTTAGACTTTATAACTCAACCCTGAGGTCTTTGGGAGCTGTCAGTTTTCTTATAAAGCTAAAACACCAGGCAACTCTAAACACAGAAAGGAGCCTGCATGGCGTCCATTTATAATAACCAACGCCCACGCACATGCAAATAAATTTCTTATTTTGCGCACAGCGGCTTTCCAGCTGATAATGATAATAGTACACTGCATCTGGTGATGATACTTATCTCATTAAAGCCATTGAGGAGGATAATATTGTTGATGTTAAATTGCTACTAGAGAAAGGATGTGATCCTAATATTACTAAAGTTTGTGATTTTTGTATTGATGATTTTAATTAATCATTTATACATAATAGTTTGGTGATAGTGCTCTTGTTATACACATCAAGAAAGGTAACTGCAATATTGATATTGTTCAGTTGTTACTAGAAAAAGGAGCTGATCCTGATATTGGCTTTGATACAGTAAGTTTGTTATAAGTATTTAAATAATTAATGTATGATTAAGCACATACTAAACCTTTTATTCACCTTGAATTTGCTTCCAGGTTAGATTGCATTAAAGTAGATTGAATATGAAATATTTTCGTATCAAATTAAAAAGCACATTAAAATAATTTCTATATTTTCAATAGTTCATGCTATTTAATTCTAATTTTCCACTAGCAAAATTGTTCATTAGCATGTCCAAAAGTATATTTTGCAAAAAGCTTGATGCAAATTATGGTATAGTACTCTCCCACACATTGAAACACTACTGGCTTTAGCCAGAAAATTTTGCCATGTTGTGAGCTAAGAATTGAGGCTCATTAGATTATGTAAAGCTAGTCTTCATCACGATTTTTATTTTTAAATTTCATTTCATTCACTGTTGTCAATATAGTATACTGGTACTTCATTACACTGTGCTAGTGGAACTGGCAATGCTCAACTTGTCAAATTATTAATTAATAAAGGAAATGCTGATGTGAATGCTATGGATATGGTAAAATTTATTTAATAATCATTTCAATTGTGCTGTATTTATAGAGGAGCCGAACTCCATTGTTTAATGCTGTTAAGAGTGGTAGTGTTGAAGTTGTTGATATTTTATTAACTAATGGAGCTAGAACTGACATTTTGGCTAAAGTAAGATTCTTATACTATGCGGAACATTGATTTTTTTATTCACTATACATGTAGTGCATCATTAATAGTTTTGATATAATGTGCAAAATGCATTCATTTTTTATGTGTACATGTAAATGTACAATTTAACTTGTTGCCTTTTATGATGCGTAATACTGTAGTTTTATGGTACTCCATTACACTATGCTTGTGGAGCTGGTAATGCTGAAATTATCAAATTATTGATTGCTAAAAGAAATGCTGATGTGAATGCTGTGGATGGAGTAATATTAATCAGTATATGTAAAGCATGTATCATATTTTTTACTGTATGTATGTAGTACAACAGAACTCCATTGTTTAATGCTGTTAAGAGTGGTAGTATTGAAGCTGTTGATATTCTATTAACTAATGGAGCTAGAACTGATGTTGTGGATAAAGTAAGAAAAATTATGCATATCACTTGTTTAACGATCCCTATAGCAGTTAGTTTTATTTTGATGTATTTTAGCAGCTTTGAAATTATAATCCAAAATTAACATTTTAAATAATATTATTGAGACGTTAAATTAGCATATGGTGTAGTAGCTGCAATTTTGTTTAAATTTTGAATTTGGCTCAGTGAATTGGTCATCACACATGATCACAGTGGTTAGTTTATTGTAGGATATACCTTTAGTGTATGTAACATTTGTAACTGCATAATTAAGTTTGTAATTTTTAACCTCACTTATAGCACCATAGTAATTTGGGTGTTATTTATTTATCTAGTCTGGCAACATTCCTCTGCTATTAGCTGCTGAAACTGGAAAAGTGGATATTACTGAGTTAGTGATTACTAAAGGTCAAGCTGATGTGACTGCTGCTGCTTGTAAAAATGTAAGCACTGTAGTGTACTTGCCCGAATTAATGTACCTCTTATAACTCATTATTTTATGTACATGTAGTTTGGTATTGCTCCTGAGCTATCTAACTTTGAAATTGCCAAGTCATTGATCACTAAAAAACAAATGGTAAGAAAAATTAAAGTTTCTCAAAAGGTTATAAGTATAGTGCTGTATGCAGAATGGTTGGCAAACCATTTACATAATGCATTGTAGACTTTCCTTTAAAAATTTTAAGTGTTAATAATTATTGTAAAAGTGCAGTAATTTTACATAAGAATTTTTGATCTTACAGGAACCAAAACTGTAGTACACGTTTGTTTTCACATGAGTTGAATTTTGAGATCATTTATGTTTCTCAATAATAATATTATTAAATTTGAATTTGTTAAAACTACATTAATTTTACAAACAGGCTTTTAGCCAGATTTAAAGTCATTAGTATACACTATTTATTAGTATGCAAATTAGCTGTTACTATTTGCGAAAAAAGTTAAATAAAAATCATAGTGAAAGTAATTTACAGATAAGCAAGCAGACTGCAGAAACATGTCACTTCATTACATATTCATTTGAAGCACATAAATTCTGCATAATATTATTGTTATAAAATTCTGAAATGCAAATGTGTGTAACAATTGTTTTTCAACAGATAAAAGAAGATGACCCTGCAGATCCAGAATTACATGCAATAGAGAAAGTTACAGTACATTCAAATCAGTAGCTGGGTGAAGAAACATTCTATGAGTTACATGCATATATTTTAAATTTTTTTGATTGTAAGTTTTGTTTTTTATAGTTTTATACTTTTTGAATCAACAAACTGAAATAATTCTGTTTGTTTAAGTAGCCCCATAGACAAATAAAACAATAAAGACTGACACGGTGACACCTGTGGTGCATTTAATTATCATAATTTACAAATTGGTTTGAACATTGGATAAATATAAAAGTGGAAGGGTGACAGTTACTTGCATACCTGCAGTGGATGCAAGCTGAAGCTGTATGCTCCACTCCCAGCTTGGAGGTGTGGAGCAAGCCTCAGATTTTATTCTCTTCTCCTGACTGGCCTACTTGGAAATGATTCTGTCTACATTAATTACATGATGTGTGTCTCTAGCCTGGGTCAGTATTTAGGTCACAGTGACTCGGACTGATGCAAGTCATGCTTTCCTTGGTTTTCGACTTTATACTGGTTCTTGATAATGACACCCACTCAATAGCTTTGAGCTCCCGCCTAAAATGGTTGAAATGAGGTTTGCAAGGATCTTAATTGAGTGCAGAATGATAATTACAATATTGTACAATTACTTATATCTCAATCAGAAGTTGAGAGACAATAAGATACTATTATTATTATTAGTAATAATCTCTTCAGTACATTGTATGTGTATCACAGACTCTCTAACTAATCTATTGATAGATAAATGGCAAATATTCAATTGCACTAAATGCACTATCATTCCTGATGCTTTCTTATAATTATTACAAGTACAATTAATCATTTTATAGCATCCTGAATTTCCATTGGCAATCTATCAAGTGTCCGGAGAGTATGCAATGCTGTGGCATGGAAGTACTGCTGGAGCTTTTAATTTAAAGACCATTGTAATGGAGAGTATAGAGTCAATGAGACGTGCTGGTAAATAGTACTTTTGTACTTATTGGTACACTGTATTATGATTTTTAGGTGCTGATATAATAATCTGCTACTATACGCCTAAACTGCTGAAGTGGTACAAGCCTGGACGAGATTAAAGATGGCATTCATAGAACAATTTTTTTCAATGACATATATTTCAGTTCTGGTTTAAACTAAATTTAAAAATAATAACTGAGAAGTGACAATGAATCAAAAAATAAATAGAAATCAATAAGTACATGAATTCTTACTCAGTCAGATAATTGGTATCGTATTAAAGTAAGTAGGCTATCTTTCATTTTCTTAGGAAGTGGAAGACTATTAATACGATCAGGTACAGCATGAACTGATTCCAGTATAACATAGCTGCACAATTTTTGCAATGAATTGGCACAGAATAAGGACTTCAATGCCTCATACTCACGATAAATGAACTCTTTATTTTTATACGGAATGTACAAGCAGCGATGATAGATTGGTATCTTTCCTAACAATTGCATATCTTTAGAAGTTCTCTGTGGTATGTTGATCCTAATTCCATCAAAGGTAATACCAATACTGAGATCAGAATCAGTTAATGTACGGCCCACACCAGTTTCCTGTTCACCTTCTTCATTACTAGTAACAGCTCCAACTGGTAAGTCACCATCAGATGCTCTCTCCCATTTTAAGTTATTCTGGTCTTCAACAACAAGAACTTCGTAATTTGATGTTTGGTGAGTTGTACAACCCCATGGATAAATACAGCATTTCTGTGATGGTGAGACATACCCAGCTGGTACTTCATTCTCATGAAATGCTCTAGCAATGTAAATGACTTCACCGGATTCATCTTTTCCTCCTGGTACAGCACCTGGTGGTAAATATCCATTTGACGCTGGTACCCATTTCCATGTCTTTGTAAAGCTATACACTGGAATAGGTACTCTGTACGCACACAAAACTTGATAACTATCAGTCGTACTACTGTAGTAGAGTTCCGTTTTGTTTGGAACACTGAGCTGCAATGATGAGAGATCAAGATGGCCTAGTAGGCATACGTCACGTGGCAGTTTAACTTTAGGTCTTGGCCAGTTGAAATGTGTTTTTTGATTTGGAACAGTTCGACCTATGAGGTAGCCATGTCTACGTTCATAAGGCTCATAATGGATCTCACCCATTGGGCCGATTCCAAACTTTCGTATTCTGTCGTCACCCTTATCAGCCCAAAATAAAATAGAGTGATTGTCACATACAAGAATCTCAACAGACGCTGAATCACTAGTGAACACTGCGTACCGGGAACTGGTTTTAGTTGCTGGAATGGAACACACATCACGTTTCCATAAATCCCGACCAATGTATATATTAACACCTACATGTATATACACAAAAATAACAAGAATAAGTCAATCCAAATAATTCACGACTCCAAAAATTTCGACTGAATCAATTATAGACTCTTCAGTCCTATTAATTTTGTAGCCCTCCTGCTTATAATTCACTCCCAGTCACTAGCTATATATATATATATATATATATATATATATAACTAGATTACCCCTGGCCCAAGATTATAAATAGACTCTCCCTCCCCTAATTCACCTTTTTCAGTCTTTCCTCCGACTACAGCGTTAGAAGGAATGCTTTTAGGAGCATGATTATACCTTTCCCATCTTATATGACTATGAAGCTTAGGCGATGCCATCATAGCCATGAGAGAAAAACCGACAAACTGCTCTGAAACAGTGAAGCTAGATATTCTAATCTAAGTAGGCAGGGCTGGCCCGGCCCCCTAGATCTACGTTGATCACAGGAAGGTCTTGTCTTGAATGCATTAAAGTGACAATTTGAATTTAACGTGATATGCATTGAATTAAAAAAATTGACAGTTAATTGTTATATTAAAGCAAGTATGTCATCTTTGATTTTCTTAGGAAGTGGAAGACTATTAATACGATCAGGTACAGCATGAACTGATTCCAGTATAACATAGCTGCACAATTGTTGCAATGAATTGGCACAGAATAAGGACTTCAATGCCTCATACTCACGATAAATGAACTCTTTATTCTTATACGGAATGTACAGGCAGCGATGATGGATTGCTATCTTTCCTAACAATTGCATATCTTTAGAAGCTCTCTGTGGTATGTTGATCCTAATTCCATCAAAGGTAATGCCCACACTGAGATCAGAATCAGTTAATGTACGACCAATACCAGATTTCTGTTCTTCATCTGCGTTATTAACAGCTCCAACTGGTAAGTCACCATCAGATGCTCTCTCCCATCTTAAGCAACTCTGGTCCTCAACAACAAGAACTTCGTAATTTGACGATCGGTGAGTTGTGCAACCCCATGGATAAATACAGCATTTCTGTGATGGTGAGACATACCCAGCTGGTACTTCATACTCATGAAATGCTCTAGCAATGTAAATGATTTCACCGGATTCATCTTTTCCTCCTGCTACAGCACCCGGTGGTAAATACCCATTTGACGCTGGTACCCATTTCCATGTCTTTGTAAAGCTATACACTGGAGTAGGTACTCTGTACGCACACAAAACTTGATAATTATCTGTCGTACTACTGTAGTACTTGTCAAGTCTGTTTTGAACACTGAGCTGTGAAGCCTGTGATGAGAATTCAACATGGCCTAGTAGGCATACGTCACGTGGTAATTTACGCTTCGGCCAGTTGAAAAGTGTTTTTTTATTTGGTACAGTTCGACCTATGAGGTAGCCTTGTCTACAGACAAAAGGCTCATCATGAACCTCCCCCATTGTGCTGATTCCAAACTTTCGTATTCTGTCGTCACCTTTATCAGCCCAAAATAAAATAGAGTGATCGTCACATACAAGAATCTCAACAGACGCTGAATCACCAGTGAACAATGCGTACCGGGAATAGGTTTCAGTTGCTGGAATGGAACACACTTCCCCTTTCCATAAATCCCGACCAATGTATATATCAACACCTATAATAATGTACCGATGTAATGTACACAAAAATAACAATAAAAATGAGTCAATTCACAACTTCAAAAAATTTTGATTAAATCATTCATAGATTATTCAGTCCTATTAGTTTTTAATCTACCTATAATCCATGCACTCACTACAACCATAGATGCTATACTAGATTACCCATAGACTCCCCCGCATTTACCTTTTTCAGTCCTTCCTCCGACTACAGCATTAGAAGGAATGGCTCTGGGAGTATGTTTATACTTTTCCCATCTTACATGACTATTAAGTTTAGTTTTTAAGGGCCGAAGGACTGCTGGTGATGCCATCATAGCCATGATCAGAATCAGGTAGAACAGAGCAGGCCACTGAGGCCAGGGGCAACGGGCCACTCCGGGCCAGGACACGGGCAGGGCTGGGCCGGCCCCCCCTTATCAGTCCTTAATCATCCTTAGTCTTATCACTCATTGCATGCAAACAGAAGGAAGATCTCTTGTCTTGCATGCAGTTTGAATCTAACGTGCATAAAATAGAAAAATAGATAATTAATTGACAATAAATTATTGTTATATTAAAGCAAGTAGGTCATCTTTGATTTTCTTAGGAAGTGGAAGACTATTAATACGATCAGGTACAGCATGAACTGATTCCAGTATAACATAGCTGCACAATCGCTGCAATGAATTGGCAGAGAATAATGACCTCAATGCCTCATACTCACGATAAATGAACTCTTTATTCTTATATGGAATATACAGGCAGCAATGAGAGACTGGTATCTTTCCTAACAATTGCATATCTCTACAAGCTCTCTGTGGTATGTTGATCCTGATTCCATCAAAGGTAATACCCACACTGAGATCAGAATCAGTTAATGTACGACCTACACCAGATTCCTCTTCACCTTCTTCATTACTAGTAACAGCTCCAACAGGCAAGTCACCATCAGATGCTCTTTCCCATATTAAGCTATTCTGGTCTTCGATAACAAGAACTTCGTAATTCGATGTTTCGTGAGTCGTAGAACCCCATGGATAAATACAGCATTTCTGTGATGGTGAGACATACCCAGCTGGTATTTCATCCTCATGAAATGCTCTAGCAATGTAAATGACTTCACCGGATTCATCTCTTCCTCCTGCTACAGCACCTGGTGGTAATGAGCCATTTGAAGCTGGTTCCCATTTCCATTGGCTTGTAAAGCTATAAACTGGAGTAGGTACTCTGTACGCACACAAAACTTGATAACTACCAGTCATACTACTGTAGTAGGTTTCAATTTTGCTTTGAACGCTGAGCTGTGATGACGAGAAATCAACGTTGCCTAGTAGGCATACGTCACATGGCAGTGTAGCTTTAAGCCTTGACCAGTGGAAAAGTGTTTCCTGGTTTGGTACAGTTCGGCCTATGAGGTACATGAGGTCTTGTCTATATTCAGAAGTCTCATATACAATCTCTCGCTGCAATGAGCTGATACCATATTTTTGTATTCTGCCATCATCCTTATCAGCCCAAAACAAAACAGAGGGATCGTCACATACAAGAATCTCAACAGATGATAATTGCTTAGAGAACACTGCGTATTCGGAATCTGTTTCAGTCGCTGGAATAGAGGAAACTGTAGCTTGCATTAAATCCCGTCCAATGTATAAATTGACACCTATAGATAGATACATAATAATGATTTTAAAATTTCAAATGAATGATAGATCTAATGAAACTGGACAACAACAAAGAAGAGGTGTGGCTAAAAGATCATGAGCTTAAACCATAGACTCTAATATCTATGCTTAAACATGGATTAAAACTCGGCTTAAAATTAAATTCACCCAAAACCACAATCCGAAAACCCCTACAGTCCCAACGAGAGGGTCGATCCTAACTAAATTGTGCATGCAGATACAACTAAATTGCTTATTCTGAGTCTATTCAATTATCCTTAATTAGCCATTTTCTTTGTTATCCCAGAACTGAGCTATTCTAATATATCATTTCGTTCTACTTATATAATCCACTCACTAGAATTAGATCTACCAATGGCCCATGATTCGAACTAGACTAGTCTAAAGCGTCCACCACTCACCTTTTTCTGTCCTTCCTCCGAGTACAGCATTAGAAGGCGGAATGTCCCCAGGAGTATACCTCATCCACCTTATATGGATATTATGATTACGAAGTGAGGGATGCAAGTATGCCATAATAAGGTAAGAGCTCTCCTAAGCACCAAAAGATCAGGAAACGCGTGAAAAAGAGAAGAAAGCAGAGACAAAAGTAATTAGGCTAAGAGTAGGAGTGGCTGGCTCACATTTCCTGTTTGCATAGATAGGCACATCAACTTTGTTTGGCCAATTTTAAGCAGCATTTTCTAGACTGATAATGAATTATAATTTTGTGATAAGGTGTCCAGTGCATTAAAACTGAAGTCCATTTTATCAGCCATTCCTTCATACCAGTGTAAATAAGCTCTAGCCTTGAACATTTCTTCAGACCTCTCCTTGATTCTATTAAGAAAAGGAACAATCTCATTACTATTAGTCAAAACAGTCATGATTTTATTGTCCTTGAGATTAGCATCGGCACCATACAGTAGATCAACAGGGAAAGGATTCCACGGAACAAAAGAAAAGTATTTTTTGAGCTTCTCCTCAATCTCCTTTGACTTGTCAATGAGTGATATCATAGCCAGGGGGTTGCTTCTTGACACCACTGCTAATGACAATAGCCGTCTCCTCTTGTCTTGTACAGGCTTGAAATGTGTTACAGCATTGCTCCAACTAGTTACTCCCTTTGTGAGCCGAACATGATGAGCAGCAATGAACTTGTAGCAAGACTGGGGACACAATGAACGTATCAGCTCCCATGTTCCCATATGTACCCTATGAATACATAAATGTATTATACTTTAGTATTGTATAATAAATGAAACACTAATACCTTTGCTTGTTTTGAAAAGGTCTATACATATTAGTTAATACATCACTGATAATACTGTTCATAGAAGTCATGCTAACACTTGTACTTGTCTTCAGTGCTTCCTTGAGTATTGTGTCATTATGCAATAGGAGGATACAGTCAGAATATTGTTGTAGGTATGGAATGGAGAGGAGTGTGTTATAATATTGAAGTGGTGTTTCTCCCGACAGAAATGGAGTAATGGCGACATTGGAAATATATTGAACAGGGAAGGCATCACGAATTGTTTCCAAAATATAACACGTCAAACCTATTGATAGGTATAAGTAATATATAATTTGCTTTATACTGTAGTTACAAATTTTATACTGTAGTAGAAAATTTTAATTGGTACAAGAAATGTACATTATACAGGGCTCCACCCTTCATGATGATTAAGTTGGTTCTAATCTTCTTACAAGTACAGTACATTGTTATAGTGAAGCCAGGGTTTCCCATAAAGCATGCTAAATGAGCTAATATGGAGCAACTAATTTTGATTAGAATCAGCTCATTCAAACTCTCTACGCAACATAAGTACATAAACGTGTATCAGGAAATAATATAAAAATAGACAATTTTCTCCTTTTCAATATTGGCAAAATTTGGTTAGAGATAATGTACTCTAGAAAAGGGGCTTTGAACAGATTTTTGAGCAACTTTAAAATTTGTAAAAAATCCAATTTTGATTGGAATCAGCTCAAACTTTCTACGCAACATAAGTACACGTATATGTATCAAAAAAAATTATAAAAATAAAAAATTCTTTCTATGTCAAATTTGGCAAAATTTGGCTGAATACCCTGTACTACAGTACAGGGATTTTGGTCTAATTTTTTAGCAACTTTAAAAATTTGTAAAAAATACAATTTTGATCTGAATCAGCCGAAACTTTCTATGTAACATAAGTAAATGTATGTGTATCAGGAAAAAATATAAAAGTGGAGAATTCTCAACTTTCAAATTTTGGCAAAATTTGGCCCAAGACCATGTACTAGAGTACAGGGACTTTGACCAGATTATTGAGCAACTTTAAAAATTCATTAAAAAATCCAATTTTGATCAGAATCAGCTCAAACTTTCTATGCAACATAAGTACACGTATATGCATCAGAAAAAAATTATAAAAATCGAAAATTCTCTCTTTGTCAAATTTGGCAAAATTTGGCTGAATACCCTGTACTATAGTACAGGGATGTTGGCCTAATTTTTGAGCAACTTTAAAATTCATAAAAAAATCCAATTTTGATTAGAATCAGCTCAAACTTTCTACGCAACATAAGTACAAGTATGTGTACCAGAAAAAATATAAAAATAGAAAAAACTCTCCTTTTTAATTTTGGCAACATTTGGCCCAGGACCATGTACTAGAGTACAGGGACTTTGGCCTGATTTTTTAGTAACTTTAAAAATTCATAAAAAATTAATTTTGATTGGAATCAGCTCAAACTTTCTACGCAACATAAGTGCAAGCATATGCATCAGAAAAATTATAAAAATAAAGAAGTCTCTCTTTGTCAAATTTGGCTGAATACCCTGTACTACATACAGTACAGGGACGTTGCCTGATTTTTGAGCAAATTTAAAAATTCATAAAAAATCCAATTTTGATTTGAATCGGCTCAAACTTTTTATGCAACATAAGTACATGTATATGTATCAGAATAAATTATAAATGAAAGATTCTCTCTTTGTCAAATTTGACAAAAATTGGTTGAATACCCTGTACTATAGTACAGGGATAGTACAGGGACTTTGGCCTGATTTTTGAGCAAATTTTAAAATTCATAAAAAATCCAATTTTGATTTGAATCAGCTCAAACTTTCTAAGCAACAAAAGTACATCTATGTGTATCAGAAAAAAATATATAAATGAAGAAATCTCTCCTTTTCAATTTTGGCAAAATTTGGCCCAAGACCATATACTAGAGTATAGGGACTTTACCAGATTTTTGAGCATCTTTAAAAATTCACAAAAAATTCAATTTTGATCAAAATTAGCTTAAACTTATAATGCAACATAAGTAACAACATTGTGCAAAACAGGTAATTTTGGTGAGGTAAAAGTTTGGCGAATTAAATTGTGTTTTTCCTCCCAAAATTTACAAGGCTTAGCTATAAAGTTAAATCTTACCTGATCCAGTTCCTCCAGCTAGACTGTGCGTGAAAATAGTTCCCATAAAGTAATCCAATCTCTCCGCTACCTTACGTATCTCCTCGGTCACAAAACTACCCATTCTCATTCCTTCTTTGAGGCCATAAGACCAATTGTTTCCACACCCTCTACAAGATCCAGTGACAACACTTGAATACTGGAGTGATGGGCTCCGTGTCTTCCTTTCAGTGTCTATACTAATACCAGGGATGTCCTTATTTGGCAGGAGGAGTGATGAGCTGTAGTCTGATGATAACACTTGTTCCCAATACGCATGGCCCAGTTGTACACCACATTGGCCAACATGTACATACACAGCCATTTTATTAAAAGAGGCGTGGTGATTGGATGATGGCATGGCGGGACTCATTCAATTCAAATCAGCAAAGAGTACATTATGTACATGTACATGTACATGCAGATCTTTCCAGAGTATGATACTTATAATTTCAAAATAAGACATGTGAAACTAATGAAGCAATAATTCATAAATACCGAAATTATGCATCAACATCAATAATAAAATCAAATCCCAGTTCATTCTTAATAGCTCTAATCCAGTCCTCACCTAAAGCTATTGCTGCATGAGCATAGCTGCCTCTTACAGCAATGAATGAGTCTAAGAACTTTTGACAGTGCTCCTGCACTTGAGGTAACTTCCTCTTGAAACTAAGACTAGCCTTGAACTCATCAATGCACTCTTCCATTGAAGGAGCTTGTCTCACTGCAGTATTGATCATATGGACTGTGTAAAGCTGATTAGCAAGTTCAGAATGAGCTTTCTTAGGTAAAGAAGTAAGTGCAGCATAATGAGATACAAGAACATCATTGATTACTTTCTTTAATTTATTGACATCAACAGTATCTAATGGACCTAATAGAGGTCAAAGGTCAGTATATGCACTTAGTATTATCTCTCACTAGCTCCTCCAGTGGATAATACTGCAGATTCATTAGAGGCTGTAGAGCTATTAGGATCTGATTAAATAACCCAATAAAATAATTAAAATGATATACATTGATTACTTATTGAAGGACGAGGAGGAGCAGTTCTCAATGAACAATGAATGAGCAATGTAACTGGGTCAACAACACCCACTAGTGGTACAGAGTAATGCAGTGATGGTACAGCACCAGGTGATCCATATATTGATATCAAACAAGATGGAGGAACAGGATAATTAGCATCACCAAAATTATCAATATCACAACGACGCAACTATTAATACACACATACCAACCATCAGTTATACATTATATTGCAGTACTTACTCTACAAGGCTTAAGGTGAGGCTTAATGCTCCAACCAGTGAATGGCTCATCTTGAGGTGCATCAAACTTCAATTCAATATATGAATAGGAAGAATTGAATGAAAAATAAATATGTTGATCAATTTTAGCTTGTAGATGTTTCTTCTCAATGAACTACAAAAACAGTTAATGAATAAAACTCTACATGTACTTGAATATAATGTACCTCAATGAGTGCACTCAATTTCTTAGCTGCAGTGAAGGTCACCAATTCTTTAGTTCTTTTCTCCTCATAATAAACCTGTCCAGCGTATGTCATATTCTCTACTACACCAGTGGAAACCACCATTTCACCTATACACAAAAATATTACGCACACTTTGTGAATGTACTTACCATTAAAATTTGAACTAATCTCAGTACAAGGTATTGGAGCAGTTGCTTCTTCATGCTGTGGTTCTTTATGATCCTTTGACTCTTCTACTCTTTCATTATCTTGCTCTTCATTTCCTTCCTCATGTAATGGCTCACCTCCAGTCTCCCCCTCTTCCTCTACTCCCTCATTACTAGTAGACTCTCCTATATAGTGGAATAGATTCAGCTCATTATATACTAGTACACACTCACTGACTCATCACTGACCTTGACCTCCACTGCTACCTCCTGGTGGACCTTTAGTCTTACCATTATCACTGGATGAATCACTATTACCATCTTCTACTTCCTCCTCAGTTTCCTCTTCTGCTTGTTCCTCCTCCTCCTCCTCTGACTCATCTCCAATAGTTGATGATTTGGGTAGACGTTTCTCCCCAACAATAGCTACCAAACAGAACTCTTTACGTTGAATGGATCCATACCAACTATCAGGTTTAAACTCTCCTCCCTTGACTATTGAGAATTGGTAAGGAAGACTGGGTGTGCTCACGGGAGCTATGGCAAACTTAAGATGATGACTAAGACCTGTTTGTCTTGTTAAATCAACGCAGTGCTGTATTTCTAATATGAGCCGTTTGAGGAGAGGCTTTGAGAGTGATACTGCATACACAGCACTCACTAGGACAGTATTAGGGGGAAACTGGAACTCTCCTCCTACAAGAGCAACCACTGCTGCTTCTACTGTCTCAGAGGACAGTAAGCTCTTCTTTTGTACTCTAATCCTTAGACCGAATTTTTTCCAATTTATTTTTTGAGGTTTGTCTCCTTGAATTAAGAACTGCTTCCTCTCTGCTACCTGGACATCACTTAGAAAATCCAATTTATCTGTCAATGATACAAAATATATACAATGAGCACACACACAATTGTATGCACTCATGCAGTCAGGGTTCCCACAAAGCATAATAATTGAGCTAAACAGCATGCTTAATGAGCTGACACAAGTAAATGGCATTTGCAGCAACTTTTAAAATTCATAAAAAAATCCAAACTTATGATCAAAACAGCTCAAAACTGATGCACAACATAAGAGCATTATGTATCAGAAAAAACAAAAATGGACAGTTTTTTGGAGCAATTTTTGACAAAAATTGGCCAAAGACAAAAAGCTAGCCTTTGGTTGTTGGCCTGATTTTTGAGCTACTTTAAAAATTCATAAAAATTTAAACTTAATTCAAATCAGCTTAAATTTTCTACACACCATAAAACATGTAGATATACATGTATGTGTCAGAAAACATAAGAATTCTTTTATTGTGTTATTTTGCAAAATATCCCATGTACAGTGTCTTTGGCCTAACTTTTGGACAACTTGACAATCCAATATGACAAGAAGCTGTATGAGCGCACAGCATGTATAATGAATTTTATGTCAAAATCCTGTGAAACCTGCACTCAGTCAGTCACACGATAATACTCTTACCCATTGAAGGGATCGGGTAATTAAATTGTAGTCCAATGGAACTAGTCTCTTTGATAGATTGTTCCTCTAAAGATGTGACTCTCTCCTGTAGTTGTGACTTCTCCTTCATTAGTTTGGTTGTATACAATTCATTATCAGACACTTTAGCTCTAAGGTCTATAAATTAATAGAATATTAATAATAATTATTGATTGATGATGATACACTAACCAGTAATGATCTGTTTCTCATTCTGTGATTGTTCCTCTGCTTGAGATGTCAATTTGGCTATAACTTTGTCTTTCTCTGAAATGTCAGTTTTAAGATTTTGATTGCCGTCTACACAATAAACATATTCTCTCATCTAATACATGCTGTGTGTATAGTTAACTAACCAATAATGATCTGTTTTTCCTTGAGATATTCTTCCTCCATATCAGCTACTTTGAGTTTCAGTTTCTCATAATCTTCTACATTAATAGAATATTCTCTCATAATGTACTGATGACACACTAACCAGTAATAATCTGTTTCTCTTTAATCAACTTTTCCTGTTCTTGTTTCATCTCATTTAATGCACTGCTCATAATATCACTACTATCATCACCTTTAACTGAAGAATATGCATAATAACACAACAAAATAATTACATATATACACAATAAAATACATGTACTAGGATTATTGCTAATGATACGATAAGTCAGAGGTCAGTACATGAATTTCATTATTTGTGAAGCATAAGACCTGATAATTTGACCTATATTGAGTACAGGGCATTATTTCCACACTCAACATTGCGTAAATCCACTAGTATCATGATAATGTAATACACACAGTCACTACCAATAACCACACAATAGTACATAATAGTAAACAGCTAGTACAGTTAAAGTGTGTGTGTGTGTGTATATACTATAGTATCTTATATACATGTACCTTGTTTATTGGCCTCAACCAGTGCCTCCTGTAGTGATACTTTGCTCTGATGAGCCACTTGTAGTTCTTGATGTAAAGATTGTATATATCTCTGAAACTTCTCTGTTCTGGTACTGCTGTACAATTGATACTTTTCCTGATATTTTTTGCTAGTGAGATCATTACCATCCAGCACTGACTGTACTATCCACTCACCAGCTTCACTATATACTGAGAAACAATAAGATACATTATTTATATTCATTTATTCATTTATTTCATAAATGAATGTCATATGCATGTATAGTGGTTGCAAACACACACATATACATGTACATTGTACATGTATACAGTGGTATTTTAGTGTGTGCAGTATACAAAACAAATGAAAAAATTATGTCAATTTAGGAACTGAAATTTGTACATGTACACATGATGCTATATTATAATGAAAACAAGTGACATTATTTATGCGATTATGTACTTAATTTTCATTTTCTTAAAATTGATTAATATAATTTTACCTAATTCAATTATCATTATTAGTCTATTGGCATCAGTGATGTATCTAGCAATTGCCTTTTTTGTTCCTTCTCCAACATCTTTCCATTCATACTCATCAAATCCTCCAACAATGACTAGCCACACACAGTGTGGTGACATTGTGACTGCTGTGAGTGAGTGAGTGTATCTACCAGTAACAGATTCAGGTAGAGGAATCTGTAGATAAAGGAAAGTATACAATTACTTACTGATACATGATTTTATTGTTTATATAGTTATAAAAATGAGAAATTGTATCATTCCATATGTAAATGATTGTTACAATCAGTAAAATCAATTTTATTACCAAACAAAATGAAATATGTTATTTTACATCATGTGAAACTAGAATAACAAAATGCATGGACATGTACATGCTTGTGCAAATTTAACTTTTATTATCATGTGTCATAGCATGCACACACACACAGACATATTTTACTTTATAAGTGGTTTTTTAGGGTTGAAAATTTCACTGATTTTGTGAATTCGATCAATTTAATACGGCACCAGCAAAGCACATGGTAGATTTCACAAAATTAAAATACACAAATTTTGCAAAATATAATTTCCTCAAAAAACCACTTATACAGTATGTAATGTGTAATTTTTAATCAAATGTGTGGGTGGTTCCATTGTATTGTTAATGTTTCATTTATCTACTGAACACACTAACTAACCTAACTATACACACACACACATCATTACAGTACTATACACACACATACCTTCCTACAACTGTACTGACCAGTAGTGATACTATCAAATAACAAACATTCATCAACTAGTTGATCCTTCTTATGCCGTCCACCTATCACTACTAGTGTAGGTGAGGTATAGTCACCATTGATAATAGTACTAGCATGATCACATCTCTCCATAGGCCACAGTTCCTCACTAGGTATTGCTCCTGGTTTCAGTATTTCCCAGTTCTAGATATATACACGTACATGTATAAACAAATACTAATTGTCTAATTATGAAAATATTTTATGTAGCATAAATATTTAATATAATAATACACAAAATACAGTTAATATACATGTAAGTACAACACAGTCATTTAGTGATAATATGATACAACAAAATACAACTCCACTTACTATTATACTATGTGTCACACTGAATATGTAAACACTGTTAATAACTGTACTCTCATCACCATGAACAGTCACTGCACCTCCAAACATTATTCCCCTATTACCGGTAGCAGTAATCTTCTCAATTATGAAACTATTAGTTGGTGGACAACACTGTCCACTGACAGATGGAACAGTGAACTGACCTAAAGTGAAAGGAATACAGTGTCATCTATCAATACATGCAAACAAACAATACATATATAAGTAAAGGGAATACAGTGTCATCTATCAATACATGTAAACAAACAATATATAAGTAAAGGGAATACAGTGAATATATCTATCAATAACATACATGCAATATAAAATATAATATACATGCATGCAATATACATGCAATATACATGCCAAACAGTGCTAAACAAGATTGAGTTTGCTGTACTAACTATGCTGGCCTGGTTTGGCCCAGTTCACTTCAGTTCAGTTTGGTTACTGTTTACACTATCAAATGAAACTGTGCTGGCCCACTTTAAACAGGACTGGCTTAGTTAAAGAAGCTAGTTAAGTTAATATGTAGTATTAGTATGATTGTGAATTTAAAGCATGTGCATCTACATGTACATGTAAAAGCATAACGACATTATTGTGTACTATACTATTTGGTAAATCAATTATACATGTATAAAGATATGAAGAGAATCTTACCAGTGGACACATTATAAAGTAATTGTTCATTAGTGCAAACATGACCAGTCTTAAGTCGATCGTATTGAAACTGAGGATGGTAAACAGTTGGTGTAGAACCTTTCCCTCCTATTATGACAAGGTATTCTGCTCCATCAAATTCCAGTGATATCATTCCAGCAAAGGCTTTCTTCATCAACGACTGTTCAGCGTTGCTGCATGAAGTCCACTGCATCTTTATTGTATTCAGTACATTCAACGTATTGTGGTAACATTGATCATGACCACACCATCCACCAAAATAGTAAATATTAGAATGAGAGGTCGTACAGGAGTAGGCAGCGACTCCTAATGGAGGAGTACCTCTTGTTAGGTGAGAGGACCAGTCAGCAGTAGAAAGCTGGTACACATCAACTGTTGAGGTCAGTTCCCTCTTTTGAAGGGAGTCATGAACTTCAGGTAAGTCAATCTGGTTCCCTGCCCACAGGTAGAGGGACTCCCCTATTACAGGAGCTTTGTGTTGAGCTCTCATTTTGAAACCTGTATAGTAAATGAATAATGATAGAAATAAAGACAATGACTACAGAAGAATAAATAGAAAGAGAAAGCATGAAGACAGAGCAGGATGTAGGGAGAAATCGAGGGAGAGATAGATAAACTAACTTTTTCCAGACATCCTCTTCTTCAAGCTTCTAAACACTAACGAGCCACTCCTAACATTCCAACGTATTAATTAGTATCTTTATAGACCACACACCCGTAATAATCTTTTATCAAGAGCACATCATCACAGTAAAAATTGGTGGATTTTAGTTTATTCTAGCATTGATATTTATGATTCTAGCATTATAGATCTATATCTATGATTCTAGTCATAATATCTAGCCATTAAATTGCAAACTGCTATAAATACAGTTGTATAACAAAATTGCTAAAATAAAGTGCTATATATAGGGTATACATGGAGCATTAGTTGTATTAAGTACATGGTTCTTTTATTGGGTGCGAGCCTGAGTGAGCCCCATTAAAACAAGAAAGCATTTGTACATGTCTTACTATTATTAAAAACATACTTCCTATGAGCATATAATGATAGTACTGGTCTTGCTCAATGGTATGTATACTTGCTTTGGAAATATAAACTTCCATGCAGTTCCTGATATTCTGAACAAGTTGACAAGGAGTCAAAATTTTTTAAATACAAAATGTAAGGTTATTGCTTTTAAAATAAGCAATAAAATCAATCAAAATTACTATGAAGGATCAACAGTTCTTTTCGAAATTAATAACAATACTATCTAGAACATTAAACAAAATAATAAAATAAAAATCTATATTGATTTATATTTTTCTATTAGTTTATCAGCTAGTTTAATAGTTCTTCTAGTACCTTCCTCTCTAAGTACATCTAAGAATATACCAAATACTTCTCCATCCATACTAATGGAGCTTGAAATGATGTGGAGCAATTCATCTATTCTTTCACTAGCAGTGTGTTTAGTGTAGCCATCAGTTATTTCTCTCTTCTCTCTTGCATTGATAATATTGTGTTCCAGTAGCTTGTCAACTAAGAAGTAAATGTCAATCCCACAATTCTTTATTAATGAAGTATATTCTGTCATTACTCTATGAGCAATATCAGATCTAAATGTACCTATTAATGATACAAATTCAGTGATTAGTGTGTTGTTATGTTAATATCAACCATACCTTCTTCAGTCTCTCTCCTGGTTTGACTGATACTAGCAGTAGAGGAGCTTGAGCTAGTACCTTGTACTGTTGAAGGAGGAGGAGGAGTAGTTCTCAGTGATCGATGAATGAATAATGTCTTAGGATCAGCTACTCCATCCAGTGGTACAGAGTAATGTAGTGATGGTACAGCACCAGGTGAAGCATAGACTGAGATTAAGCAAATGGAAGGAAGAGGATAAGTAGCTTCACCAAACTTATCAACATCACAACGTAGAAACTATTAATAAACATAATGCCAGAACATATTATGGGCCTCATTCCTTCTTAATTACTTTGCATGAGT